AAAGTTCCCAGGAATTTCAGACTACAGACAATTTTACTTCTGATGCCCATCTGCCAGCAGCTGAAAATTCAAAATGTGCATTATAAGATGACAAATGTAGCTAGTTAAAATATATAAAATAAATACATTTTTTATGTCTGTGTATAGATCTATTGATGAATCCCTATTCGTATTCTGCAATGTGTAAGATGCAACATTAATAGTTTTTCCACATGCATGTTTTTATAACCGCTGAGGGATGATTCACATACATAGCTCATACATAGACAGCAGTTAAGATTTAATCACCCAAACTCAGTCTATTGCCATAACAAATTTGCATTACTGGTATGTAACTGAAGAGCCATACTTGTTTCAGCTGGGTACTGTTATTCACGAAACACTAACGGGTAAATCGGATAGTTTAACTGTTAAATTATAAGAACAAGTCGACCCGAGAATGTGAAGCACGACTCTTCTTTCACAATTTCAGAATTCTAATTGGAAAGGATATAAAATACACAAAGTAACAGTTGTTAATGCTATTGGCTGGTTCACTATTTTGATTCATAGCCTTATATCAGTACAATGGGCATGATAACTGCATATGCTGTCTCCCATAACAAGCCTGTCACACCCACCCTCAATTTTTAATGCTGTACGTCAAACAGGAATTGGAAGAGGGGTGTATCTTGCACTACATGGGTCATAAAGAAAGAGAAAAATCGTAAATGTAAAAACATTCAGGAGCTGTGGAAGATGGGTGACCACGTGCCTCTGTGCCAGCAGTCTTCGGCTCTGGTCATGGCGACTGGTGTGTCTGCAGGTTTTCATTCAAACTCGGCTCCTAATCAGCTCACCGATTAGGTCTTCAATAGAGCAGCTTTTTCCAGCTCTTCAGGTTGCTTTAAAGAGATCTGGAAAACCCGAAGACCAGAAGTGAACATGCTCTTTTCTGAAGAGTAATGCACAGAAGCTGTACAAATACAAACAGTAAATCTGAATTAAATGGCAGAGTGTGTAAAGCCAAGAAATGCCATCAATCAACTGCACAATGCCCTGGTTGAACCACCTCTGGAATTTGCATACAGTTGACATGTCACCATTATATAAAGGATCGATCCTGGATCAATCCAGTCCTAGAACATGCTGGCTCTTCTGTATGTTATTTCAGTTGAAGTCTGTGTGGGTCATCAAGGTTAACTGACAGCTCAGATGGAATGAAACTTCAACTAGTCAGAGACACCCCAGGACTGACAAAAACAGTCTTTGTGAAATTCCAGAACTTAAATCCCATTTAAGTCTTATTCCAGAGGTTAAGGAAATGAGATACACACACTAATGTGCAGAAATCTTAAAATATTGTTGTACTCTCCTAAAAACACTCCTCATCTATGCAACAATTCCATGGTGATCTTTTTCTGAAACTTTAGGAATTTTGTGTGAACTACCAGATAATCCGGAAAGGTCTGTACTTTGCAAGACAAAATAGTGTTTGTGCTTTATTGATGCACAAAGGAAGAAATGATGTTCATGACCAGGAAAACCTTACTGGTCAGTTAGTTTGGTAGGTAAATGCGATGGATTAACTACTACAACACTTTGTATTTACAGCTCATGTGCAGTGTAAAGTAGGTCACTGCATCATTTCAATGATGATAGAAATCACTAGAGTAGACTGAACAAACTGCATATTTATGATGAGCACTGACATTGCAGCTCCTGATAGTGAGTAAAATGTCAAAGAGATTTGCACAGCAATATACAAGGATGGATTAGTAGGACAGAAATGCTTAGCGTATAGGAAAATGACAAACACTGACAGGTTGAATGGCTTGTTTGTGTCAAGAACTTATGTTCTTACGTAGATACGAAAATACCATTGGTCACAGAAACCCAACAACTCTCAAGGGCTGAATACTTAAGGGCACACAGAGGAAACTATCTGGCACAATATCCATTAAACTGTGACTCACTGATTGAAGAAATCTAGACACAGTCAATTAAAGACGTAGCCAAGATGCTAATCAAACATAATCAAATGTCTCCATTACAGGTCAAGTCTCTTGGAAACAAGGATATTCTACTTATATAAGCAAACCACCTAAATTTAAAGGGAAACTGCAATGCTCATTTTTATATTTCAGAATTAGAATCGATGAGTGCATTTCAAATCACAATGAAAGTAAAATGTAAATTACACAAATTTCACATCACTAAACAGACAACATTTCCAGGTATGCGCAGTGCCACGTTCTGCAATTCAGAACGAGGCAACAAATCTTCCAGTGAGGAGACCTGATCCTGTTCCAGTAATCCAGCAAGACTCGACTTCGAGACGGTTTTGCTGACCAATACTACTTGTTAACTCTGCATGTAGATCACATTGGAATATTTCAGCGGTAAAATGTCTGCTGCACAACCTGTACTTATTTGCTCGTACATCACAGTACATTAGTCAGTACAGGGACTAGTGAGCAGGAAGGGCTGCTTCATGTCACAATTCTCGCGAACTCTTGCTTTCGACCATGGTTATTTGCAACAACAGAGACCATAATGTACGTTCAGAAAGTTAATGATTTTGTGCTTAATTCAGCATTTTGAAAATGTTGCAATACTTTAATTTATTGGGTTACCCAATTTATTTTTTATTTAATTTATTTAATACCCAGTCTGAGCAATCGGGACTGCAGTGCCCCTTAAAAGCTTAAATTTTCTTTTCTAAAAATGAGACCCAGAAATAATTTCCACATATGGAGAACTTCATGCTTGAAAGGGCCACAAATGAAAAGTTTCCAAGTTTAACCCTTTCTGATCCAAAATTAAAATCACACGACACCTACACATAAAGATTTAAAAGATTTTCAAAAGGATCAGTTTTATTTGACACAGGGTACACTTTGGACACAATACCACTGAAATTTTAAAACGTCTTCAAAACTCCAAATAAATTAGAAAAGGAGAGAAACTGTTCAAGCACCATAACATCAACAAAGCTGAATTGAACATACAGGCCTAAAGGAACAGTAAGCAGATTAGCTGCAGGTGAAAAGCTGTCTAAAGTCCAACAGCTGTTCACCAAGACGTCATCTCATCACAAATTCTGAAATGTTACTTGTACAAAAAACATCGCTTTCAGTCAATTTAATGCTGTAAAAAGCCAGACTCCATAATCACTATAGACCAAATGCATCCATATACTGATGTTATAATCACAGACTACCTATTTAATGACCCTTGAATCATACACGGCTGTTTAAGCTTTATACCACTGTTTTGTTGCAGAGAACACAGCTTATTGTTTTAAATCAAAGTATCTGAAATGCTTTGTGGCAAGGCCAACTGATCACCGTTGAGACTCATGTTTCTCCGAGAGAACACAATACAGTACAGACCCTTGGACCTTTGAAATAAACCTGCAGCAGTGTTTACATACTGTAAACGTTTTATGGTCCCTTTTTTCCACAAATGTGGCTCTTCCGGACGAAACGCAGAAATACACCACAAGCGCAAGTCCGTCACCGGCTTCTTCCTCCAAACTCTTTAACGTAACTCTTGCTTACAGACGATGTCACTCATGGCAGTTTCTGCTCCGGCCCCAAAGGTGTGACTGACCACAAAGGGCAAGTCTGCAACTGTGGCTTTCAACGCATCTGTGTAACTGGTTTTGGCCATCCAAACCTGCCGGCGAATGGCTACCGAGGAGGCCATAATCCTGCCCGAGAGCTCAGCCTGATGGGAAGACAGCTGAAGAGTGAACTGCGCGATTAGCTTGAGCTCATTCAGGACGGCCACAAACCGGACCGCTGGCTTGTCCTCGGTTATCTCCACCAAGAGGCGTTTCTGGTAGTCCGACAGGTACCGCAGGTAGTTGGCGGTCCTCGCCAGCATGCCGGCCGTCTGGTACACCCTCTCGGCAAGCGTCTCCGTGAAACGCCAGCGCCTGGCAGGCGCCAAGGCCTCCTTGTTCTCCGTAGGCTTCACGGCCTGGAAGATGGCCGACATAAAGCGGTTCACCTGGGGCATCCTGTCGTAGGGAAGAGCCTGGCACTCGTGCAGCCGGTACATCTTGGAATGGACCGCCCGGAAAGGCCTGGAACAGGCCGGGTTGGACCACGTGCTCTGAACCAGATTTTCGAACTCGGGGACCATGGTGGGGTCTGGCGAGGTCAGGTTGTTTGGCGTGCCTGGGAAGTCGATGCCCAGGTATCTGGCAGCCCGGCTGATAAGCCCCTGCAGCTCGGTGGCCATGAGAAGTTCCTGCATGGTGAGGGGGACTTCTGGCAGCAGAGAAACATCCTCCCCCTCTCCGTCACCGCCGTCCTCCAACTTCACGCCCGCCGTGATCAGCGCCGGCTCCTCCTCCTCCTTCACGGGGGCGGAACCGGAAGCCGTGGTCCCGGTGCCGTCGGCAGCCGGGCCCGACCAGTCTTTTCTGGCTGGGTCGGGAGCCGCGTCTCGTCTCCCCTCGGGCGTGGAGGTGGAGGCGTCTGAATTCCCGGGAGCCGAAGCCCCACCAGTCGCGCCCTTGGGGGGGGTCTCCATTTGTTTCTTTTCCAGGGCCTCCAGGCGTTTCTCGAGCAAGCTCCACTGCAAGTGCATCGTCTGCTGCTGCGCCTCCAGCCTCTGACGCACCCCCTCCAGGAGCTGCTCCTGCTGTTTCCTCAGCACGTCCGCCGTGTGGGCCGCGAACCACGACCTCCTCTTCCGCGTCGAGGGGCGCGAGGAATCGGAGGAACTGGAGTAGTGGGGGGACGAGGAGGAGAAGCAGGGAGACTTCCTGCATCTGTAACCATGGCCCCGCTTCGAGTGCCTGGAGCATCGGGAGTGGCACTCCGAGGAGCGCCGCCTCTTGCGCTGGCAGGAGGCTTTGTGGGAGCCGGAGGGCTGCCCCGCCGGGGAGGGGGAAAAACCCGGCTGCTGGTCGGCTACTGGGGCGACATGCACGGGGGTCGCCAGACTGGGACTGGAAACGGGCTGCGCGGGAGGCGGGGAGAGTATCGTCAGCATCACAGGGAGGGCGGACGTCGGCACGGCGGCGGCTGCAAAGGGCGTCACCGGAGGCTGGGCAGGTCCGAGCTCTTTGGGGATCTTGGGATCGCCGCTCTGGGAAGAATCGGCCGGCTTTACCGGCTCGGACTGGGCTGCTTCCGATTTCTTCTGCTGGCTCTCTCGATGGATCACCTCCTGTACCTTAGTCAGCCGATTGATGCACGTGCTCCAGTCCAGCTTGGCACAGTGGGGGCATTTGCCGTACTCCAGTACGGCCTCCTTGGCGTGCTGGATACCCAGGCAGTGCAGACACAGCTCGTGAGTATCCTTCGAGGGGATCTTGTGCTTGCGGCACGGGCACCAGGTGCACCTGGTTGTCGAACTCGCCATGTCTCCCAAGCGGCCGGCTGGAGATCGTGGGGCTGCGTCAGCGTCACCAAGAGGGAACCATGGGGAATTGGGGTATTATGGGTCTTTCACTCTCCAAGCGACAAGTGTGGTTTTTCCTAAAACGAAAGAAAAACAAAGACTTGTGTTCACCGGGGTAGAAGACTTCCCAGAACAACATAGGAGCTAGAAGGCCTTTAGCGAGCTGCCCCCTTTGTAGTTCGGGTGGGGAGCTGCGTCAGCATGTGTAGGCTGCAAAGGAACAAGTAACAGGTTTATGCCATGCTGAAAAAAAGAAGAAAGAGAACACAACGTGGAGCCTTCTTCAGGTGTGTATAACATTTGTATAACTTGTATAACACAGTGTGTATAACGTTATATCTATAATTACCCACTCAATGCATTTTAGTTAATATAATTCTCAATTCACATGATTTTGTTACAATATATGGCATGTGTAATTAAGATGCACACTTGTATTATCAATCAAGGATTAAAACATGTCAACAAGTTCTATTAACACTGCTAATATTCAGAAACTTGCCAAGAACGTCACGCCCGATAAAGACCCCAAACACAGTCCATTTCCCCAATATGGGTACATGTCTGGCTCTTGTTGTACAACCGCCTTTAAACGTCACTTTTTCTCCTGTTCATGTAGGAATCTTTGGAGAGCCAAGTTGTAACAGCAGCGGGATGAGCCTGTCATGAAAAGCACTTTCAAAGGCGCATCTAAGAAATATGCCTGCGTTTTGCTTACTATGGTAATTTCATTACAACACACTTAAGCATCCATATATAATTCCCCTATTCAAACAATCTAGAATCATACACTGCATGTCTAAACTTAAGACCTCAAAATATAGTAATGTATTAATCTGAACTTTAGCAAAGTGTGTGTGTGCGCGCGCCCAGCAATGCACTGGCATCCACAGCAATTTGGAAATCCAATTAGTTTTATTCAAGTTTTTTTTAAAACAATAACGCAAGAATTTAGGTAGCGCAAACCCCCAAACCTACTCCAATGCTCGAACCTAACCAATTCCCTGTGATGTGCAAGCAGACCTACGTCACATTCGGAACGCCGATATTTCTTTGAGCCCTTCAGCCAAGCGCACGTTTTTACGTCTCCTCATTTTTAGCGCCAGCAATCCAAACAGGTTGACCTCCACACGGCGAATCATTCCAAACATTTCACTCCTATAATGGCTTGAACGTATGTATTTACTTCCAGTGCTTTAATCACAAAAATGCACGCCCCCACGATTTAAATCATTTCAAGAAGACGCTTTACTAGCAGAGAGCAATGAATTAATCAGGGTTGCCAAAGCATATACAAATTCACATATACAGACATTTACAATACAGACACAACATAATACAGCTGCATACAGACATGGCTTAATCTCACCCTATTCAAAGTAACGGCACTTCGAGAGGGTGGAATACAGAACAAAATGAAAACCTCCACAATATGGACCGTATGTGCATTGGTGAGTGAAACGTTTCGCATTTCAAGTTATATGTCATTTGAATCACTTAATATTCCGTCTACAGTACTCACGATCATTTGCTTTTCCCTGTTTCGGTGATCCGTAAACGACCAATTTAAAATAACCTGAAAGGGCAGCAGCCGGGTGAACAGGTCTCATGTCAATGTGGGGAAACTATATCAGTTTAGGTGCTCCTATATCACGGCTCGAAAATGTCTCTCTTACCGTTATTCCCAGTATTGACTCGACTCAGATCTTTTTGTTTTTATAGCAGAACCTTCACTCGCGTTACTGCTCACGCCAGCCACAACCTCGGCGCAGGTGTATTACGTCATCCTACGCGACAGACAGTCCATGCGTGTGGGCTATATTAGCTATTTCTGATGCGCCATCTGGTTTAAGTATAGTTTCCCAGACAGTGCACGAACACACATATGTAGCCTACAGTATAATTGTCTTTCTCTTGTGAACGGGATCATCCCAAAGTCGTTTTAAAACATACTAACCGCTTCTAGTCTCCAGCTGATTGCGGTCTGTGGACAGACCAGTGGCGTGTCTTGATTGCGTCACAAGCGGCCAATGAGGGGAGAGGCGGGATCCCTCCCGCGCTGTGATTGGGCGATTGAATCACGTGACACCCAAAAGGCGTGGCTTCGCTGTGCAGGTTCCTTCAACCGGCAGAGATAACAAGTCTAATAACCTGTGACATCAATTAGCGGACACGTCACAAAACAGCTGCCCTTTCTTTACCCGTCCAAACAATTTATTATTTTTCGCGTCAGAGGCGCGTCAAGCCGTTTAGGCTACATCTGCTTCAAATTGCCCTTTGAAATTCCTAATGCAAGACAGTGTATATGGCTCATAAAGTGATTTTATCTTATACAGGCCCAGCTAATAATAATAATAAACTTTATTTTATATAGCGCCCTTTAAGGTGGCTTCTCAAAGCGCTTAATGGCCGTTGATTGATTTCACTTTGCTTGTAGACTTCAGCTTTGTTACAGGTATATAACAAAGGTTGTTTTAAAACAAACCAAAACGACGGTAGTAAGGACAGACCTGCGTTAAACTGTGTGTAGTGTTCTGCACCTCTGCAAGGTACCACAAGAAACGCTGCGAACGAGAAAAAAAAGTGTGGTTGCTGTTAGAAAATCGATCGTCCAACCACCTCCTCAAATGCCAGTATATCGGCTTAATGGTGAGTTGGTTTCTCCTGGCCTCTACAATCTTCTAAGTAAAAATGCTGCAACTCCCAGCTGGCCGCCCACTGAAGCTCAGCAGGTGTGAGCCTGGTCAGGACCTGGATAGGACACCTCCCGGAGGAAAACGAAGATTGCTGCTGGAAGAGGCGTTAGTGGGGCCAGTAGGGGGCGCTCACCCTGCGGTCTGTGTGGGTCCTAATGCCTCACTATACTGTAAGAAGGCGCCGTCCTTCGGATGAGATGTAAAATCGAGGTCCTGGCTGTCTGTGGTCATTAAAAATCCCAGGGCATTTCTTGAAAACTGTAGGTGTCTTACCCCCGGTGTCCTGGCCAAATTTCTCCTTCCCTTTACACTCATGGCCTCCTAATAATCCCCATCTCTGAACGTGTTTCATCATTCTGCTCTCCTCCCACTGCGTGGGGAGCGGACTGGTGCACTCTGGCTGCTGTTGCGTCTTCCAGGTGGGGCTGCACACTGGTGGTGGTGGAAGGGATCCCCATTACCTGTAAAGCGCTCTGAGTGCGGTGTCTAGCGAAGTGCAATTTAAGTGTAAGGATTATTATTATGAACATTCAGAAATCATGGCCTCTTGTTGTCCTACAACAGTGAAATCCTGCCTCTTTTGAGGTCTTACTAGTATATGAAAAAACTTAAACATCACAAATTTTGCACTTTCAGCTGTACAGATGCAGCCATTCAAAATGCGCGGGCGATACCGCATTATTTTCCGGTACGCTGTACGCAGTCTACCGCGAGTTACCGGTAAATACCGCTAGCAAAATAATAGTATCCGGAATTTCCGCAAGGTGGAGCTAATAAAGCTCAACCTCTCATGTTTGAGCTGTCGCCATCAAAGACTTTAACGAAGATATTACTAATAGTATTAATAATGAATGACCTTGGACAAGCTGTAAGTGTAAACTCAAAGTATTGCCCTGGTCCACATTCTTTTTTTCATTGACCGTCTTTGTACAAGTAACACCACAGCATATAAGGTCACCTGGTGAACACAAGGCCATCGTTCTGCACGAGCAGCTCCACTGCTTCAGCAGTTCAATTAAAGATTTGAGGAGGTCAGATTGCAGAATTAAGAGTTAACTCCTACTCTTCCATACTGCTATGTTACTATGGCTGCCTCCTCAACGCTGTTGTTGACCATAAGCAGAATTGCTAAGACATTTCAACCAAGAAATCCCTGTGCAGAGATCGGGAGCATTTTTTAAAGCATGTGGCAAATATATTAAAAGAACATCAAACCACCACATATCTCACCTTATCTGATTACCAACTGATACCAAAACACTGCCCAGTCATTTCTTAAAGGATTAGACTATCCTTTAATCCTGCAACACATTTTATCTATATACAACCTTTCAAATGTGGCGTCACAGCGATGGTCTTCCTTTTGGCTCTTCACAGTGGTATAAAATTTTAGTAGAAGATATAGGTGTCAGGAAAGTTAAGAAGAAAACTTGCCATAGAGAAGACTGTGTGAAAAAAGACTAATTTGACTAGCAAATTTACCTTAATCAGCATACTGCAGCAGAACCGTTTTTCTGCCCGTCCTTCCTTAGTTATCACAACAACGCATGAGCCTGCCTGGAAGTAGCTCCTGCTAGCTCTTGTCTTAATCGTGCTGGCTATACACGAGAACTGGAAACAAAGAGTGCGGCACATACACACATTTATTTGACATTTTTCACTTTTCCAGCTTTCTTGAAGCCTTTTCCTTTCTTGTGGTGACTCTTAAACCTTTTCTTCAAGGAGGCAGACTGAACCTGTGAAAAGAGAACCAGGTGGTAAAACTCCCTCTGCATCCAATGCACTCTGGATTCAACTAGACACGGTTCTAAAAACACGCCTGAACCGAATCCATTTTTGCTGGCTTTTGTTTTTCATTTTGCTGGTCCTTCATCGCACGCACACCAGCGAACCACGTCAAAATAAACGTTTGCCTGCTCAATAAATAAATTCCCTTCAAGCATCCCTTCAGTTGGCAGGTCTCCATTCAGAGCAACTGACAAAAATGAACATTCACAGATTACAAAAGAGACAAGTCCATTCAAGTCTGAATGACATGGCTGGACAGTTGATTCCAGACCCCTACCACTGTCTGTGTAAAGAGGTGCGGGTCTGGTCACAGATGGGAGTGAAAGTTTGTGAGAATTGTGACAAACCGGCCCGGAATAAGTACAGGTTGAGCAGCAAATATTTCACCCCAGAAATGTCCCAGCCTGATCTGCATGCAGAGTTAACAAGTAAGTAGTATTTTTTTGGCCAAACCGTCTCAACATCAGGAGCAATATTTCTACTGGATAAAATAAAACAAATAAAAGAGAAGTCTTCACCAGACTGCTTGTTTACAGTGTCACAGAGCTGCTTCACATCAGGAAGTTTTGTTGCCTCGTTCTGAATCGCAGAACATGGCACTGCGTATACCTGGAAACCTCGTCTTATTCTGTGATGTAACTTGGAGGTTTTACAATGTACATTGTGCTTTTATTGTGGTTTGAAATGCACTCATTAATGCTAATTCTTCTTCATCCTGAAATATACAAATAGCATTGCATTTCCCTTGGAGGAAGGTCTACAATGCGTTACTGAAAAGGAGAGAAAAACAGAAGTTCACCTTTTTGCGCTTGTTGAAAGTCTGTGTGTCCACCTCCATCTGGGCCTTTCCGTTCTGCCTTCCGGCAGGAGCCTCATCCCCGCTGTCCGTCTCGAAGCCCTCGCTCACCACCATGGCCTCCTCCATCTCTCCGTCCCCCGGGGCTTTCAGAGTGAACATCTCCGCTGAGCAAACAGCAGATTCGGGAGCTTCAGAGGGATTGGCTTACAACACGGGGGCGTCTGGTTAAACCTTATTTACAAGACCACCTTCCCCGCCTCGTCTTCAATCTGCACGTTCGTTTGGGTACCAAGCATTTTGATTGTGGTTTTGATACAAACATTCTTCCTTGTGTTTCACACAGAAGCCAAATGACTTGACAGGAGAGTGATATTTTCCCCCCACTTAATATTGATCTCTTACCGTTTTATTTCGCCGCACAACAAAATGTACGTGCCATGAAAAAGAATGATAGTTAATGATGGTGCTATTTTCCCCATAACAGTCAGACGCCTGTTGCCCAGCAGGCTAACCATGTACAATTTCTTAACCTGATTCAGAAAGCATGCTGTCATCGGTGATTGTATTTTCTCTTAATTTTACCAAAGTCAGCATTATTACTTTTTTCCCCCCGCCAAAAAATAAACAAATCCAATGTCCAGTGTTGAACCCAGGAACTCCAAGCTACAATGGTGGCAAGTCTTTCCAGGCTGGAATGTGCAGAACTGTCATCTGTGTGTCAAAGGGCCTGTTCTGCTTTCTACCCTTGGCTGGCCTTGCTCACAATGAAGAATTAACTATGAGGGAGAAGAAGGTGAGGAGAGCAGTTTTCCTCTCCCTGCTCTGGCAGAGGCGCGCGGGACCCTCAGCCAAGCGGGCTGTCCGTCACGGCACTCGCAGCGACAGGGCACAGATCACGCGGCGGGTACTGACGTGGGTAGAGGTCGCTCATGCTGTCCTCGGAATCGCTGGCATCGCCTTCGCTGGACTCCGGCTCCCAAAACCCTTTCTTTCGGCTACTGCCCCGGCTCCTCTCCTTCTCCCCCTCCTCCCTCGGCTTCTTCTGTTTCAGGCAGGCTGGGACATACTGCACTCCCTCCAGGACACACGCCTCGTCTGAGGAGAGAGGGGCACGGGGGGAGACCCTCTTCAGAAAACGGGAGCCCAGAGCCACAGAAAGAGGGAATTACCTGATGAAGTGTCTGGAATGCACTAATTCCCCATCTAAATGGACTAACATAAAAACTACCATTGAAAACGAATATCAAAAAGCCAAAAATTCTACACATTGCACAAAAAGTCCTTGAAATCTGTGAAATTCTGTCCTCCAGGATTATAAAAGCCTGAGCAACAGTGCTGTGCCCTCAGGCAAATCACACTTGCCCTTTCATATAGGTGACTAATATACATCACAGGACATGGCACAGATGTGACTGCCCAGTCAACGTTGGAAACAGAGAAAGCAAAATAACCTCTTTATCTCAGTCCATCTGGTTATGCGCGCAGATCGGTATTCTGATCCCCTCCCCTACTTTCTTTAGGAAGCTTACAGATGGTTCTGAATGGCTACATAGTTGAACTGGCTGCCTCTGTACCAGAGATCGCAAGGTTACGTCCTATGGAAAGGTATTATATTAATACATTATATATGCACATTGGTGGTGGTGGAGGGGGGTCCCCATTACCTGTAAAGCGCTTTGAGTGGAGTGTCCAGAAAAGCGCTATATAAGTGTAAGCAATTATTAATTATTATTATTAATAGGATTAGAGCTCATCAAGATAAGTACATTCGGTGGGAAAGATAGTGGAGAGATCACGGATAAACATCTCCAAGAGTGGTGTGAAGAGAAAATATGACGACAGGCATCTAGGACAAAAGCTAACTCCAGCTTGCAGCGGGAAACTTCCTGTCGCTTGCTGTTCACCGTGCTCTCTTGGCAAAGTACAGACCTACTCCTGGTGTTACAATCTAAGAGCTCGATCGTGAGGGCGCCCCCTCGCTCACATTTCTGCAGGGCGCGCTGGTACCGTTTCCCCCCGACGTGTTGCAGCACATGGTGGGGCAGCCGGTTGATGTGACGCAGGGTCAGCTTGCAGAACAGCTGATTGCTAGAGGAAGCCAAAAATTGGTGATTAAAAAACAACAACAACAACAACAACAACAACAACAACAACAACAGCTACAGGATCTACCTTTTCCCCAACCTGGACTACTCAAGAAACTATGTTTTAAAATAAAACCGTTACCTTAAAAGCAGTTTAAAAGCAAAGACAGAAATTCTGCATGGTAAAAAAAATAAAACGCAAAAAGACGTGTAGCAGATTGGTAACAACTAAAAAGAAGGCAAAAAATGGTAAGGCAAATCTAGAAAAATAATCTTGGATAATGTCACCGTACAGTATGTTTCATAACTGGCGGAAAATTAATGTAATATTAATAAAAGTGATTATAAGGAAAAATCGGAAATTTGATAGGTCAAGTCCTAATAGTCTGTGAGCTATGAAACTATAACTACCCTTTTCAGAGTTCTTAAAAACCACACATAGTACTTCTGATGTCTAATATTCTTTTAATCCAAGACACGGTACTTCTGATCTGTTTAACTGACAAGGAATGACCTAACAAACACACCGCGGGGCTTGTGTCCTATCCTGATCCTAGGCAACTCAGTATCTCTACAGATTTGTGTTTAAGCCAAACTCTGTTACTTTAACCTTCAAATTAACTGCTTGTTTAACAACACTTAGACATTTCCAGCTCCAAATCTACAGAATTTTAAGTCACTCAGTTAACTTGAAATCTGTAACAGCTGAAAACTCAAATGGCAGATTGTTAGCTAAATTCCGATATAGATTAAGGAATGATGGGCAAAGCTACAGCTTGGAGGAGGAAATTCATTCTTCCACATTGGAGCAGGATGTTAAATCGTTACACGTATGGAGAGTAAGATGGCAAAACTGAGAATAAATACACTAAGAGTTACCAATAACAGAAAGGTGAAAAACCTGAGGCAGCTAAAATGGCTTAACGGTGTCCAGTTTTGATCCTGTCTATGTGACTGACTCCAGGAATGCCTGCTTCACGCTGGCCAGCGGCAGCCTTGCACGCCTTGCACGCCTTGTGTAGACGTGCTCTTGGACATATACTCACGGCTGCTTGGTGCTGGGCACCACGTGTGGCTCGTACTGGCGGTAGTCGAAGTCAGCGATGGCGCTGAGCTGCTGGTATTTCTTCCCACTGGTAAACTTCCGGAGCTCCTCCAGGCGGCAGGGTAACTCATGGCCATTCAGGGTGCACTTCACCTGCGGGAAACAAAAAAAACAAACCCTGGTAACCCTAAAACACTTCATTGTGAGCAAACATCCCTGATGCTTTAATTAGACGCTTGGACCACTGCCCTGTGTACTAAAGCTGTCTGATGCCTCACCTGTCCTCCACCAGAGCGGCTCAGAACAAATAAACAACCTGGCATCTACAGAATCAAACCATGATCGCATGTATTTTCCATCATGTTAAGCGTTGTTTTAACTTAAGGACAAGGAAGTTACATGTGACATGTACAGTAAGGTTTAGACCACAGGGATCACAAAGTTTCAGTCTCATCTCATGGTTTCACTGAAGTGCAACCTCTGTAAAAACAAAAGAGGTAAAGAATAATTTTAACGCGGAGGGAAAAAAATAAAGAACTCATCTGAACTGAACTGATCTAAAAAAGGGCTATTTCCAAAGCTCTTCTGAAGTTATCAAACTCCTATGCAAAATCGAACATAATTTATAAAGCTGGAAAATTACAGATATGCATAGCAATGTCAGCGATTTTTAATTTGGGGAATTTCATTATTTGATAAAACATATGTAGTGTCTATGAGCATGACTTAATTGGAAGAAAATGACGCAAGTATTGTTATTTTGATATTAAAAGCATCTTAACTAAATCTGTGTGCATTTCGCAAACTACAAACGAAAAGAACTTGACACCTAACTCGAAACTGACGTTATGCACAATTACACCGAGAAGTCCTGTGTTTTCTACCTTTAAATGACAGAAAGAGGAAACGCAACACAAAAGTTATAGATCTGGAATGCTTCGTGTGTTCCTACAACTACAGCAAATAAACAAGAAACAAAAACGACCCCTCATATCTCGGCAACAGTTTTACAGTAAACACAGAAATAGCTGGATTTCTGTTGCTGTCGAAAGCTTTTTCCCAAAACGTTATTTTCAACTTGTTTCGCAGTTACCTTATTACTGTCCGTCAGTTGGAGATAGGGGTGATCCTGGAGAAAAGCTTTAACGTCACTGGAAACTTTCTCCATATTTGCTGGAACTTTATATAAAATGTAATTCGTACCAAAGAAAATCACTTGCTAAAATCCACTGCTGTCATCTTTCCCAGCTTCAGTCACACACACACACACGTGGGTAAAATGAACCGGAAGTTAAACGCTTTACAATCAACTTTATTAATAGCGTTTCCTGTGAGTCAAGTCCATGTTTCAACCATAGATATCTCTCAGTATGTGATAACACGTCTCCGCATAACTTTAAATAGTTTCGTCGTGTTGCCCTGTACATTTATCCGACCCGAGGACATTTAGTTACACGCCCTAAAAAACTAAAATGCTTTATTTATTAAGCCTTTCAGTCGGGTGTCGTGTGCTTTCAAGAGATTATGATTGAACAGGTTGCACCGCTCCACAGCCCCCTTTCATCAGACTTGAGGTTTGGCAAATCTAGGACAGTGCTTCTCAAACTGCAGAGGGCCCCCAGGTGGTACCTTGGAAAAGTGTTGTGTGCCCTGAAAAATTGGGCATTAAAAATGGAATGATTTAAAAGTTATTGAAATTTTTCATCTGTAATTTACTTAATCGGTTTCAGAAAGCTTGAGACGGGTTTTCATATTTTCTATTTTAATCAAATTAGTTTATGTGTCAAATAATACACATCAATTGGAGCGCGACAGGGCTGTGTCCTGTCCCCTCTGCTGTGCATTTTGTACACTAATGATTGCATAAGCAAACACACAGATAGACCTCTCATGACGTTTGCTGACGACACAGCTCTGGTCAGTTTATTAAAGGACACAGAATACCATCATGGGCCCGTTCTAAATGATTTTACTAACTGGTGCAACGAGTTCTCCCTAAAGTTAATTTTCAAAGTTTCAAAGTTTTTTTTTCGAAAACAAAGGAACTGGTTATTGATTTTAGGAAAAATACCAAACCCACTACAACTGATGGTCAGCCTGTTGAAATTGTCGATGACTATAAGCACTTGGGACTGGTCATTGACAAAAAAACTAAAATGGGACAAATGCTGTGACACGATCTATAAAAAAGGCCAACAGAGACTCTTCTTTCTTAGAAAACTCAGCTACTTTAAGGTAGATAAAACTATTCTTACACTTTTCTACAAATCATTCCTTGAACGTGTCCTAACATACTGCTTCTCTTGTTGGTTTGACAGCACAAGTACCGGTAACTGTAATAGGCTGGTAAATTAGTGAATATAAGTGGCAAAATAATCGGGAATGATCAAATCAATTTAAGCATTCTTAACAAACAGAGGGTGACTAAGAAAGCCAAAAGCATCAGGGAGCGTGTGTCTCACCCCCTCCATTGTGAATAAACACTTCTCCCATCTGGGAGACGCCTCTGTGTCCCCAGAGTCGGGGAATCTTTCATTCCCACTGCAATCACACTCTTAAACGTCTCTTCTTTCTTTTCTCCTGTAACACTACTGTATTCTCTTCCCTTTTCGTTATGTTAATTTGTCATTGTGTTGTGTTTGACTTTGCCTTACAACAAATTTCCCTTAGGGGACAATAAAGCTGGAATTGGATTGAATTGAAATAACGCAGCCTACGTACTTAGCTACGTACGTCGATATAGCGCTTATACTTGAGTGGACACAAGGGCTGCAATTCTATACCATTGTATAGGAATGCGTGCTACGACCCCAAGTGACCAACTGTATTAAAAGAAGTTATCTTTAGCGAATAGGGAGGCAGGAGGGTGTGCGTGATTTTGGAGCCCTGCCAATCTTGTGAGCACAGGAAAGCGCGATAGATAAAAAAAAAACATTTCAGGACGGTTCTACGGTTAATTACTTGGAGAAAAATACACCGAGCACCTCTGTGCGTTTCGCTCCCGGAGTTTGTACCGACGGTGCTAGAGCGACGACAGGCCGACACAGCGGTGTAGTCGCACGAATTGGAGAGGTTGCTCCAGATGTGAAGTGGACCCACTGCAGCATCCACCGCGAGGCCTTGGCCGTCAAGAAAATGCCTGAGGATTTAAAATCGGTGTTAGACTCCGCTGTCCAAGTTGTGAATTGTATCAAGGCTCGACCAATGAATTCACGTCTGTTCGACGTGCTTTGTGATGAAGTGGGCAGTGAACATGTGCAACTTTTGCTACACACTGAAGTGAGATGGTTATCAAGGGGCAGGGTGCTCACCAGGCTCTTTGAGCTGCGCTCTGAGGTACAGATGTTTCTGCATGACCAGCGACCCCCCTTGGCAAGTCTATTTGATGATCCAGTGTGGCTGTTAAAATTAGCCTACCTGAATGATATATTCTCACGCTTGAATGAGCTGAATATGGGACTGCAGGGGCTCTCTTTAACAATTTTTGATGTGTCTGACAAGATCATTGCTATGAAGAAAAAGCTGCAGCTTTTTGTGAACAAAATCAACGCAGGTGATGCCTCTGCTTTCCCAACTTTGGAGAACCATCTGCACACACATGATTTGGCACTTGACGCTGCTGTTCAAGATGCGATCGCAGTGCACCTCTTGTCATTGGAAGAACAGTTCTCGGAGTATTTTCCAGCAGAGGCCACACCAGAGTGGATCAGGAACCCCTCTACTGTTGATGGAATACCCAATGATCTGACCTGTACTGAACAAGAGAAGTTGCTCAAGTTATCCTCTGATGAGACTTTGATGCCAGAATTGAAACGACAGTCACTGCTGGACTTCTGGATCCAAAGACAGAGCGAATACCCAGGCCTCTCATTAAAGGCTGTGTGGCGTTTGTTGCCCTTTGCTACTACCTACCTTTGTGAGAAAGGCTTCTCTGCTCTCACTGCAATCAAGACAGAGTACCGCAACAAAATGGATGCAGAGTCAGATCTGCGTTTGCAGCTCACCACCCTCGTCCCTGACATTGCCAGGCTTTGCTCGACTGAACAGGCTCACCCCTCTCACTGAAATGGTAAATCATCTACTGCAAACGTCCCAATGAAGTTATCATTTTAGGCAAAATGTACAACTGAGACTGTGTTAATCAGACGTTTTCATCATCTAGTCTTCTACGTTGAGGGTGCCTCCTGGCAAATTCTGCTCTTCGTGTTTAACAAACCAATTCTGTTTTATGTACAACCTGATACTTCTGTGAATTTTTCTTTAGTTGCATGTTGTACAGGCTCTGTAAAATGGTCTGTAGGTATCCCAGTTCTTATGATTGCCAGAGTGGTATTTTTATACTTAACTGTATTTTCTGGTCTCCATTGTTCATCTTCAAGCCATATTCAAAAGTCATCTCTTTCTTTCTGGAGATTAACAAATTATTTGGAAATATAAATGTTAACTTCCTGAAGTTCTCATCAATGTCAATTTCATATGATCCAGGCAGTACCTAGAAATCTCAGTACAATACACATTCAGACTTGATAATGATCCTTTCTTCTGGTGCAGTAAACCTAAGAGTCACAAAAAAGTGACTCGACAACAATGTGGACAACACAACTGATGGTTTTGAACAATCATTTATTAGCATGGTATCTTTTGCAATGTTTTCTCACAGTCCACTTTATAGATGTGTAATAGTTCTGAGACGTTAAAAAGACAACTGATAAATTAACAGAGAAGAACAAACTTCGAAAGAGCTGTATAGTACTTTTTATTGGAAAATGAATCCAGAATAACAGTTATGTTTAACAATGTAATTCTCCACCACAAAGCTGATGAATAAACTGCTTCGTCTGAATGGGGTCGTGTACATTGCTCAACAGTAAAAATCCATGGTACTGAAAATGAACTATTTGAACTATATGAACTAAGTCAGTGTTGCCTTTTTCTACAGTAGGAAAAAGAAAATAATTTTAAAAGCAATTGCTCCTTCCAACTCCATGTACTTTTCAAGATTCATCTTTCATTTTCATAAAATTTGAGATAAATTAAAAGCAACGTTTACAATAAGAAAGCAAGAAGCATATTGTCCAGAGACAAGGTTGAATCAGTCAGTAGGTTTTCAGTAACCCATTCAAACCAGGTAAGTGTTTAGCTTCTTTACTATAAAAATGTCCACCAGATTTTCTGAAATACACATCTCACAGAGATGTTATTTGTAAAAAAAACATTTTTTTTATGTAGGTTCAGTTACTGCAAAGCATTAAATACAATTAAATTTTATAATTGTGTCAACAGAAATAAAACTCAATTTACTAAGCGAATCAAATCTGAAATGGTACAGAATTATTTACAGCTTGATAAATTAGCCCATTTTAACATTTTCAATTTCTTACAATTTCAAAAAGAAACTGTCACATTAGTACAGGCTAATGTTTTAGCCTTTTGTATAGCTCTGGGTGTTCTAGAATACCATGACATGCCTCTGTTAAACATAAATAACATTCAATCCCATTACAACTGCAGATTACATAGACAAATTAGATTGACTCAAATACAAGATGGTAAAGTCTATAACCTTATGCTGTTGACGTACCAAGAAATGCGTAATATTTTAGTTTTGGAGAGAAGAGCCAAACAATCTTAAGGAACAATATTAATTTGAGTTAGATCATTCTATACAAAACAACTAAAAACACTGCAATCCTAATTAAACACTGCATTACAGCCTTAAGACAAAATTCTCTTGTGAACAGTTCTCTTAAGCAGAGCAGTTATCGTTTCCAAGATCTTATGTAAGTAATGGGGAAATCTGACCCATGTCCTCGATAAGAATTCCATGTTTTACATAAAAAACTCACAGAAAATATTCTTGCATCAAGAAGGTATCAGCCACCTGATGACCAAGATGGTCTGAGTGATCTTCTCTCATCAGTAGCCTTTCCTGTGCTCTTATGCTGTACTGGATTTTACCAAACCTTTAAACTGGAAAATGCATCCAAAACTCTTCAATTTCTAAGCATCCTGTTGCCTCTATGTGAATTCTGTACATATAGTTTTATATTTCAAAAGTAAAAAAAACAAACATGGAAAAGCATTGCATGGCATCATTTATGGAAAATTGTTCAAGGAATATAGGCATTGCATTGTGAATGAACAAAACTGGTACTTGTTACTGTTTAAGAATCTGGTGGGGACTTTAAGGTTCTATAGCTGTCTTTGTTACAGTACTTTATTACAAAATAATGTGCACACAGAAGACTAGACTGCTTTAAAGCCATAGTCTTCATACAAATGTAGCATATAATTCTTATATACCACCTGACACCTTACATTCGAAAGACAAATGTTGTACAGTTGACTATAAAATTCTGATGAATATTACCTTACAGTTGCATGTGTAATAAGTCAAGCACGACTAAATTTTATTATACACACCAGAGAGAACTGTGTCCAGTATTACTCAGTTAATGTAGTCCTCAACATTCAACCATTTCAATAAAACACTTGGATAAAAAAAGAAAACTAAAAAACAAGATTACTCAAGCTGGAAATGATGTACCCTCTTAAAACCTCTGAAAAAATTGGCCCGCAGGTGGTACAGCCCATTTTATTCTCAAACGACCAACCTCACATATGTGAAGAAAATTCCCCTGAGATTCCAACAGGCCTTCCAGTGACACTAAAAGCACATGACCGGTAGTTATAGGAACAGGTTCAAACCGAAGGAAGTGTCAGTCTCAGGTTTGCACCTCTACATTGTAGGGACTCTGAAAGCAAATGAGGTGAGAATTTGGCACAACCCAGAGCTGAAACTCTGGAGCTCTGCACTTTTTGATAAAGTGATTATTAAGATCAAGCCAAGACAATGACTGAAAATCCGGGAAAGCATGGAGTTGTTGTCTCTGTATAGACTGTGCAGGCAGAGACAAACCATGCCTAACCCTCAGTATCAGATTATAGCAGCAATGGACAGCTCAGGCGTTGTCCTGTAAGAGGAGCTGTCCTTTGGTTGAGAAGCTAAACCATGTTTTTGACTACTTGGTCAAAGATCCTCTAAGATCCCATAAGAATGAAAGACAGAGGGTCCCCTCCATAATTCAAATGGAAAAGCAAGTATTTGCTTCTTTAATTGATCTGTTGTGACTGCTGGACCTTGTTAGGATTCAGAATAATTCCACAATAGGTATCCTTTAATAGGGTGTCATCGACTTCTGGATCTATAATACATTGTTAAAACAAAATGTAAGTTTACATTTGAATCAATTCTTTACCCTCCAGTTTTATGAGCCTGAAAGTGATAGGAGTCCTCTAGTGTATAGTTTAGATGTGGGTCATTTTTAAAAGATCTTCTCTATGAGACCACCCTTGCACACAAGTTCGGGACTCTGCAGCTGATGACCCGAGAACAGTGTCCCCTTGGATTACAAGCGTATAGCTTTTCCACACACACCCGCTGTGCGCCTGCATTCGTCTCCACTGCAGTTTCCAGAGCTGCCAGGCAAACTCACAGAAACCACAACACTAGGAGTTTAAAAACGTGCCGGTGATTACCAGCTCAGGCGAAGTGGACCTTCAAGTATTAAATGAATGCACAGAGAACGATAAAATGAGCTGTTGTGGTCTTATTAAAACAACTAAAAGTCCACTTTCCCAGCAGTACAAATAGAGAAAAACGATATTCATTAGCTCACCGATTTTAAAATCGTTTGCAAATTCAGCAAGGTTACAGTTAATACACCTCTATTCCTTCATAAAGTCCTGAATGGGCCGAAAAGATATAAAAACTACAGTACATCCACCATCTCAGTGATGTACAAAGCAGGTCTGCGTTGGGACTCACCCACAGTCCTGAGTGGGTTAGGGGCCAGACTCACCTCACTTGCATAATCAAATGTAATATTAAAAAAAACGTAAAAACCTTTCTTTAATGAGGCAGAGTGCAAGGAAAAACGGTGACCTGGGACTGGCACATGGTCTCCGCAGTGCAAACCTGTAGAACGCACAGTAAATAGCGTTTTGGCAGCTGAGATTTTGAGGGGAATCGTTTTATCAGGAAATTCCGAAGGGTTGTGGAGAGAGCCTGCCCTTCGAAGAGAAGGCCAACAGGCTGCACCTGTAAACTCGGCTTATTTGAGAAAGGCAACTCAAGGCTCAGTCCTCAGGAGGACAATGAGGGGTCCAAGTGTTTTAAAACGCCCCCTACGAGGTGCAAGCTGCCCGTTACCAGCACGTGGATACCGGCAGCCTCGCGCAGAATCTCGGCTCTGGTGGTGGCACCAGGCTGGAGGGTGGCAAACGTGCCAGGGCAGTCCAGTACTGGGTCCCTGCCCTGGCAGATCCACTGAAGGGCGCTGAGGATGCAGGGAAAGACCAGGGCGTCCGTCTGCCGCGTCTCGGCCACCAAGGGCAGGCCTTCCGGAATCCGCACGTCTGTTGCCACGGCGCTGTCTCGCTCGGCCAGGCGGCGCCAACTCTTCTGGTTGTCGAGGCAACGCGTCAGCATGTTCTCCACCGTGACGTTGAAGTTGTGCTGGTCTGCTGGGTACAGAAAACATGAACTCGCAAACACATTGGTTCCCAACTTTTATTTCTTTTTTTTTTAATAGATTTAAAATATTGATTTCTTTTTTCCAGGACCTCCTTTGCCCCTTCATAATGAAGAGTGATGACTTCAGAGGTTTTTATTCCTCTTTTAATAGACCTCCCCCCCTCCCCCAGATTCTTCGATGAAGTAACATCTTGGACAACACCCGCCTGGTATCACGTGCAAATAGCTCATTGCCCGTTTTGGAATTTTGCTTTCTGAAATGAAAGTAAAAAAGAAAATGTACTCTGGTCCAAGATGAAATCAAAGCTTTGATCACGCAAAGATGGCTTCTGTTTGTCAGAAGTTTGTTGATTCCAGCGATGAGAAGGCTGGATATCGAGTAAGGAATCTACAGTTACTGCGAGGGCTGAAGTTCCAAGTATCTTTTATAGAGATGTAACCGTAGTACGCTGACAAAAGAAATAGTGAAATTAATCCAATCTAACTGCTTTTTCCAGGTAATGGATGTGGGGGGAGATGGAGACTATCCTGACCAGCAGCAGGCAGGACATCACAGAGCACACAAACACAGAAACACACACAGTCACACCAATGTTCCCAGATGCCAAATAACCTACCAGTGTTTCTTTGGATTAAGAGGAAACCAATGTGAACACAGAGAGAACATGCAAACTCCACACAGACAGCACCCCAGGTCTGGAATTGACTTGAGCTGCTTTGGACAACGAAGTTAATGTTACTCAGCTAAAACAAGTGGAGATTTCTTGAAGGCTGGGAATATGGGATCTCTCACCTGCATTACTTGATGAGACGGCTTCAGTGATGTTGGGGCAGAAGACAGCAAATTCAAAATGGAAAGGCTAAGGAGAGAGAGAGAGAATATAGAAACACCAAATGAGAACAATTATAAGAAGTCTGTTGTCTGCTCATACTGCTGTCACAACTGGGGAAGACTAGTACAGTACATTAAAGGGTGTGAAAGTTTCTCTGCTGTCTCTCATAAAAACCTGGCAGTGCAATCTGACACAGGCCTGCACTCTGACCTGCTGCAGAGCAATATTTAACAAGGAGAAACTGAATTCTAAGCTTACAGTTGCACACTGCAGTTAATTTTGATTATTCAATGAATCATACTGGTGTAGTAGAACAAGTAAAGGCCAATTCCATGCTGAAAAGAAACTGTTCCAACTGTGGAGCCTTCTTCGGGTGTGGTGATTATCTGATCATAACAGGCCATTGAGATTCCTACGTTATCACATATTTCTGTGTTCCTCAAATCTACAAATTAATAGAAAAGGCAGTGCGGTGGCACTGTGGCTCAGGATCTGCGCGCCTGTGGGTGGAAGGTTGCCGATTCATATCCCGCGGCCGGCAGAGGAATCCTACTCCGTTGGGCCCCTGAGCAAGGCCCTTAACCCCAGCTGCTCCAGGGGCACCGTATAAATGGCTGACCCTGCGCTCTGACCCCAAGCTTCTCTCCCTGTCTGTGCGTCTCTCATGGAGAACAAGCTGGGGTCTGCGAAAAGACAAATTCCTAATACAAGAAATTGTATATGGCTAATAAAGTGATCTTATAAAATATAAAGATGGGACATTCTTAAAGCCTGTGGGTTAGAATTGTGGAAATGAGGATGGTTTCCTTTCAATATTCCAGTTTCTAGGTCCTTCAAAAAAAAAAATTCCCCAATTCAAACTTTACGATGTCTTTCATCTCGTGGCGCACTGCGACGCCTCAGTGCTGTACACGTCTGAGCGCCTGACGGATTCTGCTCACCACCAGGAGTTTAAGCATCGCCGCAGAATCTCGTTCTCCTGTAGCGTTGAATAGCAGCACGCGAACCACAGGCCCTCTGTGAACGGGGAAAAAAACACAAATATCAGGTGTTAAACCCGGTCATTAAGAGTCTTTAGTGAGAGACTAGTTCAATTAAGCCTATATAACCATCCTGTTTTCTAACCACTTCATCCAATTCAGGGTTGCAGGGGAGACGGCGCCTATCCCAGCATGCAACAGGCACAAGGCAGGATACGCCCTGGACAGGAAGCCAGTCCATCACAGGGCACTGACGCACACCAGTTTTCCCAGAAGCCAATTAACCCACTATGTCTTTGGACTGCGGGAGGAAACTGGAACTCCACAGGAAACCCAGGCAAGCATGGGATGAAGACAGAAACAGCACCACAGGAACTGAATACTAATCACTGCACCACTGTGCAGCCCTCACACTAAAACATATTACAGTTAAATTGACCAATACATGATACTCACTGAAACCCACTGGGACCCCATTGTTACCGTTGCTTTGAAATTGGATTTTAATTTTCTTAAGTACTCTAATGAGCGTATGAGTCTTTCCTGGTTAATGCCTATGGCACATGGGCAAAATCTATGAATTAACAGGTGCTGAGCTATTTGTACCTAAAGACTGAAATGCCCTTTGACTAATAAGTCATATTCCACAAACTCTCCTGCTTCAGTTATGCATCTATTTTCTATTTCCAAAACATTTTCTTCTTGAGATGTAGGTTAGCAATGTATCTGTTGCTTATTATAGTGGACACTGTTTGTGGTTAGTATCCACCAGGCTAGTATTTTGACAAAGACGATACAGTTGGGTCACTTCAAGAAGAGCAACTGGTGGTTTGCTTCCAGATCTAATATCGGATATCATCTAAGCTATTTGGAGATCTTGACCAGCAACTGAAAAGTGCGTCTGAATGCTATGCATATGAAACTATCCACACCGCCTGTCCTAAAAATGTCAGGGTAGTACATTGTGTAATGTAAAGCAGTTAATACTGTTATCGAACAACAGTAATAACTCCTTTACAAGTCTGCCCTCTGTTTCACTGCAGACCTGAAGCAATGCTGCTGCAGCACTGTGAACCATGTGGTTCCCGAGGTCTGGAGTACAGCGCCCCCTGGTGGTGATCTTACTCAGTGGTTTTCTCCTGGCGGGCGGCAGCGTCTCTGAACCAGCTCACACAGGCCAGCATGCTTCGCATGGTGTGGGCGCCGTCCAGAAAGTAGGTGACCGGGCCGTGCCGCAGCGTCTGGGTCCGGCCGGGCCACTCGGTGCTCTGCAGCCCTGCGGGGGAGAGACCGGGACAGACGCTCAAGACCACGACACTCATTCCCGTTTCTCACGCCGCAGGGATGGGGAAAGGCTCCCCTGGAGCAGCAGACTGGAGTTTTCCCCACACTGAATTCCTCTAGCTCATTCCCAATCGCTGCATCGTGCCACAGGACGACGGGACGTTAACGACTGGTTAATGTACAGCTGTTTAATTTGCAGAGAGACGGATGGAACAGCACCTGGTATCTCACCAAGGTTATCAGCTCCATTCATCCTGCCCTCGGCCACTGCAGAAAGCTTTGTGTGCAAAGCACACTGGAACGCTGGCCTGCCCTACAAAGCTGCAAAGCTGTGAAATACCCAGCCCCTTTGCTGCAGGGAAGAGTGGATGGCCAACACTTGGCTAGGGTGCAAGAACACGGTGCAACTGAACACAAGAACCCGAGAAAGGTGCCAAATGAAAAGGAGCTGTGTGGCCTGTTCATCCCATTTGATATTCAGCAGTTACGTGATCCAGGGTCTTCTTAAAAGAAAGTAGGGTATCTGCTTTAACCCAATGGGCTCCTCTAGGATTTGAACCCAGGACCTTTTCCACTCTAAGCTGGGAATCATAACAAGCCCAGTGTCTCTCCCCACTTGTGAGAAGGAGGAAACGTCTCCTTCTGCAGTCCAGAGAACTCAGGTCCAAGTCTTACAGCTGCCATAACCATCCCACAGGGATATGGGTGACATTGAGCAGCCATGGCAGATAAGTTCACTCGCAGGTTCTCAATTTTCTTGTGTAGTGGAGCTGCTTCATCTCATGCAGGTAGTGGCGAACTGAGATCCTTGTTTACAGGTTCACCTGTTGTATGCTGTAGTCACTCTCACTTTTGTAACAGGTCATGTAGTATGTAACAGTGGCTGCCCTGCAGTGCTGAAATGTGCTCCAAGGTTCACCCTTTTTACACTATCATCGCTTCTGTAAGAGCCAGTGTAGTATTCCGACTGTGCCACTGACAGCTGTGTATATCAAGTGCCCACGTGATGGGATACAGTGCATCTGCTGCTGTTCTCACCATTCACCATGACCGGACTGGGCTTGAACGACGCAGCCTTGGGAAAGGGGCTGTTCAAGGGCACATCCTCAGCCAAGCCCCTCTTCGGAACAGAGATGAAATCTGCAATTGGACATTGGGGGGAAAAAAAATAAGAACAGAACGAAGAGATACGACTCCTTGGAGTTCGGAACTTTTTCCTTTCTGAAGCTGAGCTCATCACTTTTTTTTTTTCCCAACACAAATGATGAAACCCCGACCGAAGTGGATAGATGTGTACAATCCGTGCTTTCGTTTCAGGATTGCAGCAAAACAGGACAGCTCCGACCTTTTCTTGCTGCCCAGCTCCCCTGAGCACCCCGACCAGGAGCGTTACCGTGAATGCCTCGCCGCCGGAGCCAGCTGGAGCACAGCTGGAGGGCCAGGCTGGCGTTGGATCGCTGGTGGTCCCCCTCCAGCCCCAGTCTCAGCCGCTCGCCCCCTGATTCATACTCTTCCAAGTCAGGACACACCTGCAGCGAGCACTGGGGACAAGATCGCGCATGTCACGACCCATCAAACTCTCGGGAACAGAGGCACTAGCATGGGGTTAGCTGCAACGCAGAAAACCCACATCCTAAAAGAGACGTCAAGGTCTGGAAATAAGCACCTTTTTTATTCTTCGTTTAAAACAATTCCCTCTAGCTTGAACAAAGAACTAGGTGGGATTTCAATCGATTTCAAATTCTCGCCCCATTGCCAAGTGGAAGCATGAGCGTACACTGGTGACAAAAATGAAAAATGTATTTGTAACACCCAAGACATAAACGTAAAAAAAAAAAAAAAAGCAAAGTGGACTCCAGAGAAAAGCAGACGACGATCAAAACACCACTGTGGTATCGGAGCTGGAAACGCAGCACGAGGCAGATAACTCACCCCAATTTCCTCCGCTCTGGCCTTCAGGACATTCATGGGGCTCTCTAGCTGTTTCACAGTGAACGCCGGGACTCCTGGCTGCAGGGGGAAAAACACTGGTGTAGCAGCCAGAGCAACTTTGAGTGAAGCTTAAAACACAGAAATACCAGCTCGGACTCACGCGGTCTTAGAAATAAAAAGATTCAATCTGGGGACATGCAAGCCTGGGCAATAAGAGCCACATCTGTGTCTGCTTTTCATACGGTCTCCGAGTGTGATGATTTACAGCAGCTGAACCAACTAACCGGACAAGAAGTCGGATTCAGTTCAGTGTTTTATAGCCAATTAGGTGAAAGGGGCCTTCAAAACCTGTGAAGACCAGGGACCTGAAAACCAAGCATGTCAACAACAGTCGCCTGCAATTACATGGGGGGCTGCCATCATATACAATGACAGGTGTCCCATCATACAAGGGGCAGGGCCGTATACGTAAGAGGGGGAGAGAAAGGGAACACACCTGGGCTATTCAGGAGAAAAAATAACCAAAAAA